ATACTGGGGATGGACTACACAGGTACATTCTCACTGGTAGTGAGGTTAGAAACCATCAGGGAAATATTAGCACTAGTGGTTTCCCAGGATTGGGAAATACCATGAATGGATGTAAAGGGGGCTTACCTAAATGGCATATTAAAAGAAGAGGTCTATATGAAACAACCTGAAGGTTTTGAGGATGGTACACAATGCATGTGCCAGCTAATAAAAACATTGTATGGGTTGAAGCAGTCTGGAAGAGAGTGGAACCTTGAGCTGAATAGACAGTTAGTGCAAGGCAGATTTAAATGCCTATGGTCAGATCCCTGTGTGTATGTCCAGCAGATGGCAGAGGAAATAGAAATCATCACCATGTGGGTTGATGATCTCCTACTGTTCATGTTGTGACAGGGGCTTATGACATCACTAAAGGTGGAACTACAGTCTATGTTTGAGGTTACCAACCTTGGAGGCCCAAAGAAAATAGTCAGTATAGAAATCACATGAGACCAGACCAAAAGGACTCTATTCATAAGCCAACCCAGTACATAGATTCTATACTATGGGTGCAAGGGCTAGGGAGCATGAACAGTGTGAGGACACCTGTGGATATGTAGGTTCAGATGTTCCTGGAGCAGGAATGGGAGGAAGCAACTAACCAAAATAAGTATGCTTCCCTCATCAGATCTCTGATGTATGCTGCAGTTGCCACATGGCCTGACATCACCTATGCCATAAATAGGTTGGCCTCATTTACTGCAAACCCAGATTTAAGACATTTTGTTGCAGCCAAACAAATATTAAGATACCTACAAGGAACAAAGGACTATGGAATAATGTATAGTGCAAAGAAAGGCAATACTACTACCCAAATATTCCAAGGGTATGTAGACACAACCTTTGCTAATACAGAGGACCACATGTCTGTCATGGGTTACATGTTCCTGGCTCAAGGGGGAGCCATAGTTTGGGGCTCAAAGAGAAAAACCTTAATTGCACTGTCAACAACCAAAGCAGAATATGCCACTCTGGCTAAATGTACTTGAGAATGCATATGGCTATGGAAACTATATGCAGAGCTGGGGTACAGACAAATGGAGCCAACTAAATAATGACAGACAGTGAGGGAGCCTGAGCTCTAGCCTACAATCCCCAGTTCCACACCCAGATGAAACACTTTGATATATCTCATCATTACACATGTGAGAAGATTGACCAAAAGAAGGTCAAGATCTGTCATTGTTTAAACAGGTACCAAACAGCTGATATATTTACCAAAGCACTACCTAGAGGCAAGCACAAGAGGCATACCAAAGAAATGGGTATGACCCCAGCTTGAGGAGGAGTGTTGGTATCATGGAGTAGATACACAGCATCCCATACAAGGGACTCTAAGGTAGTCAAACATTCTCCATTACAGTAGATTATTCTAGAATAATATTCTCACACAGTATATAAACCCAAGTAGATAGGGCAAACAATACAATCCATTATCTTATTGATAACTCTCATGATCAAGCTCACAACCTACAGTTGTAGTACTGTACCAGGGCATGGCTTTAGAAGTTTGTATGATATTCAATTGTCTGGTCCACTGTCTTTGTTTGATGTTCTGGTGATTTTCTCCAAGCAAGATTGTTGCCACCATGGGTGGCACTTCCCAAGTGTACTAGGACCCAAAAAATTCAAGTGGAGAACAGGCTTACATAATAGCACTTCATCTTGACTTTGATGACCCATCATGTGTCAATTACAGTACACTATCTCATAATGCATGTAGTCATAATGCATTGAAAATGGCTGGTCCCACTGTGGGACATTGCTAATTCACAACAATATTGCATATTGCATAATGCATAGAGCTGCACCACTTTTATGCATTATGAGATAGGTCTTTTGGCAATTGTGACATTGCAAAACTTGAAGTCATGGATGGTCATTAACCATTGTCCACTCTTTTGGTATTATTTGAGATCCCCTCCTTGATTTTGAAGGATTATTGCTCATGTGGTGCACTAGTAGGGGATTGCTGAGAAGAACAGAGTGATGATCATTTGAGTCAGATAGCAATGAATCCTCCAGAGGAGGGGACAACATGGCAGCACTGGAAGGGAGTAGCATGATTACTAGTAGTTCCTAATTCTATCTAAGCTACTTCTGGAGTCCCTCTCAGCAATGCCCTGCATGCAATTTTTGATTTTTGAAGGCAGTGTACCTTGTATGACTGGGGGGGGACTATGAATGACATTGTATATAATATGTTTTGACCCATTGGTGAAAGGAGGCTGAAGAGCTGAAAAATTGTTTATCAAACAGCAGGCAGGGTGCAAGTGAAATTCTTTGACAATGACAAAAGGGTTGGTATTTGCTCCATTGAAGTATCCTAGCAAAGATGATTGCATACAATATTTGCTGACAAGTCCTTGAGTAGTGGGTGGGGATGCAGAGGAAACTGAGAAGGTGGTTGAGGTTGAGCATGGTGGTGAGACCTCTGGGATATCTGGAGGGATGGAATATGAGGGTGGTAATCATGTTGGAAAGCTTGATAGTAAGGTATACCACTTGTCATAGATTGTCCCAGTTTGTCCCAGGCTTCCTCCACATTGCCCCTATGCCTGTCAGTGTCATGTAGTGTTGTCCAGGCCTGGCTCAGCTCAAAAGCTGCAGCTTGGGCCTAGCTTTTGAGGGCTCATGGCCCAAGAAATCTCAGGCTGGGCTGTGAGCCAGGCCTTTTGAAGGGTGTTCACAGAGGTGATACTTTATGAACCTAAGAGTGTGAAATCAGTCTTTGAGTCAGGATGAAGTCTATGTTCTATTAACCAACCTAAGAGTGTGAACTACCCAAAGGATAAGTAAGAATAGTCTATAGTAAGTGAGAAGCAACATTACCTCAGTCTTTGAGTCAGGACAAAGTCTGAGGTATAAGGAAAAAAGAAGTGGTGGACGAGTATGGTAAGGTTATGTAAGCAGTGCTTGCTGCACTCAGAAGTACAAAACTCCAACAAGGCCAGGCCCTGTATGTGGGCTCAGCCTGGCCCGAACATGTTCTCATGCAATCCAGGCTCTTGTTTCCACACCTACCCTACTAACAGAACCAGATCCTAGTTATGAACTTCAATATCTATATGCTAGTTGTGCCTGCACCAAGTAGTATGCACACTGGGTTACTTAACTATGATAATCTCCATTGATCTGGACATATTCCTACAGCAAACAGTTGAGATCAGTGCATGCATGTCATAAAAGCTCTTCTGCAGACTCACATAACTAAAAAATTATCTTTGCAGAATTCCTCTGCAAGGGCATAAACTTGACACTTCCAAACAACCTCTCATCAACACTCATTGACCTAGTGTTACATGGAGTATAACAAGCAGAGAGTAGTGAGGGTGAATCCAGTCACAAATAAGGGTATACTTACTGAGACACTTGCTAGAGACACTGTGGAATAGGTATTAGCCATGTCCCACTGTACTACATGTTGATATATGGAACATATGCAACCACATGGATTTCACAATAGTTGCTATGGCAGTATGTGCTGGGGCAGATGTATAAAAGAATGTTATAGAACAAGAAGGACATATGACACACCAACCCTTTGATGGATGTGCCATGGCAGGGGATTCCAATAGTCATTCCTGCACAAAGTCAACCCTTCTTCTCAGTATCATGATGCTTGGAAAGTGGGATTTGGAATAGGTCTGTGTGTTGTGTCATGCATCAGTTCATATCACTGTATATGAATGTGTGACAGACTGGTGCCCAGGAGGAAGGAAAGCAGGACATACCCCAAGTGCAGCATGCCCACCTCACAAAGTACCATTTCAAGTCAAGGCATACTCCAGTGATGTGATTTGGGTGTGCAAAGTGACCACAATGCACTGAGCATTGTTGAATGGTGGATCTGTATTAGAGGAAAATGTGCCTGCTGTCACAACATTGAAGCTTTTCCCTGTAGTAAAATGACCAATTCAGAGGGGGGATGGATGAATTTGATGGCTTGGATTAAACCTTCAACTCTCATGATGACTACCAAATGGAGGTTGGGAATCAACATCAAGGATGATGAATGTGAGGTAGCATAGGAAAGAACCTCAAAGATAGTTCTGCTGGATGTGACTATGGGATTGTCAGTATGTCAGTGCTTGCTATATGGAGGCAGGTGGTGGGAGGTGTTGAGACCTAGGAGATAACATTTGCAAGGACATGATTGTTAGCTACACTTCCAAAGTAACAAGAATTATTTACCTTCATGTCACTGATGTGGCAGGCAGACCATTCTCCCATGCTAGACACCCATCTATCACTTTGAGTTACCAAGTTGGGGGGAGCTGGTGTTGTATGTGATGCCAGGGAGACACCAGTACCTATAATACATCATGTTGAGGCCTGGCAGCCTGGGTGACAGTCTCTGCAGGCAAGACACCAAGTGACAAACTAGTGGAGAGAATATTACTAAATCAGGTAACCTCACAGCCACCAAAGACATGGCCTCAAGCCACAGCTCACAGCTTTGTCCAAAGTCAGGCCAGGCTGTGAGCCCCCACAGGCCATCCCCATGGCTTGGCTCAGCTCAGGGCTTGAGGCTGCACCCAGCACAACACTAGTGTCATGTATCTATCAGCAAAGATCATATGCAATGAGGAACATTGTAGCACAGGAACTCCAGGAGATGAATCAGATGGAGAGTGAAACATGTCAGTATCTGGAGTGGGAGTTGAACATACTGTAGATCCAGTGACTTTGAAGCATCAGTGATGTACAGAAGGACTTTGCAGGGATGGCCCTTCCCTTACTTACATACTGCCATCAACCAAAAAGTTGACTTCCCCTTCTTCCACCAACCCCATTGCCCCATTGCCCCACTGTCATTTGTCGTGCCATGGTCCTCCTATGTCCTGCCACCCCCATATTCCACCCCCTCCAGATACCCCCAAGGCCTCACCATCATACTCAACCTCAACCACCTCCCCAGTTGTTGGGATGAGAATCCACATTCTAGACAGGGTAGGAACAGTTTGGTAGCCTAGTGGTAAGGCTCCCCAGTACTAGTAGGAGGACCCAGGTTTGATCCCTGGTCTAGCCAGTATTTTCAGTCATTAGGTTATGAGCCCTGATGGTGCTGGAAGCTGGTCCCTACTAGAGGCACACAAAACCACTCATATTAGGATGTCCTTGGGTTTGTTGGCCAGGTGTGAGCCAAGCAGTTCCCATTGTACCTAATTATGGAGGGGGTGAGTGTGGCTTCTAAGGGGAGTGTTGGGATGAGAATCCACACTCTAGACAGGGTAGGAACAGTCAGGTAGCCTAGTGGTAAGGCACCCCAGTACTAGTGGGAGGACCCAGGTTCGATCCCTGGTCTGGCCAGTATTTTCAGTCATTACCAGTTTCCTCTGTGTCCCCACCCACCACTCAAGGACTTGTCAGCAAATATTGTGTGCACATCATCTTTGCCAGGATACTTCAATGGAGCAAATACCAACCCTCTTGTCATTGTCAAAGAATTTCACTTGCACCCTGCCTGCTGTTTGATAAACAGTTTTTCAGTTCTTCAGCCTCCTTTCATCAATGAGTCAAAAAAACATATTATATACAATGTCATTCATAGTTCCCCCCAGTCATACAAGGTACACTGTTTTCTATCTATACTTTCTACTCCCTTACTCTGTACATTCCTGGGATGGCAACCATGGATGGTGACATACAGCCTTTTCAAGCATGCACAGAAAAGCCAGAAATCAAAAATTGCATGCAGGGCATTGCTGAGAGGGACTCCAGAAGTAGCTCTAGATAGAATTAGGAATTACTAGTAATCATGCTACTCCCTTCCAGAGCCACCATGTTATCCCCTCCTCTGGAGGATGACATTCTTCTAACAGTCTTTCTCAGTCTCACTGATGGTCTATTGGTCAAAAAAGTATTGCTGAAGGGGAAGACACTTCAAAGGAAGAAAATGAAGGAACTTTTATTTGCTCTCAACAACTCAAACTACTTTGAGTTTCTGCAAGCAATCATAGATTGACCCAGTTTGTCCCTACATGACCCTGAGGAAAAACCTACTGAGACCTTCCTGCACCTGTGGTTCTTCTACTATGCTGCATTGCTATCAAGGAGCTCATGAGATCATTGCTCCCTCTGCCTCACACTTCTTCAGGACCAGAACCTCCATTTACTTATATAGCACCTGTATCACTGCAAGCATTGCAAAATATGTTGAAATTTTGAGGAAAGACATACTCTTTTATTTTTGGATGTTTCATTTCTGGCCACAAACATGAATTAATATTTCATAGTAAATCATGCAAGAAAAGAAAGAAATCTTTGTACCTTTTCTCTTTGAAAATTCATCAAAAAAAAAGAGTATATCTTCCTTCAGTTTTTTGGAGCATGTTTTGTCAAGAAAAATTGTGAAATGCTCACGGTGTATAGTCTGAATATTCATCCAGACATAATTTTTGATATTTTGATAAATTATTTTGATGTAAAAATACCAAATTTTTGAATTCATTTCTTGTCAAAAAAAATTTTGCTGCTTATCACATATTCAAGCATAAAAAAGACATAATGTTTTTCTCATGAGCTTTCACATACAATTCATCATTTCAAATCCATAAGTTTGGCCACACAAATACTACCTATATTATAAGCTTTATCCTAAGGAAAAAGTAGGTTATTGAATCCAAAAACATGTAGCAAATATTGGAGATATATTTACAATGTTTAATGGATATTACACTCAAAATCATGCTGGAAAAAATTCATAATAATTTCATCTACAATGATTTCACATGATTCCATACCATTTTGTGAGGCATAATTGACAACAGAAATCCTATATTTCTTTTCAATGGTTTTGGGAAAAATATCCCAAATTAAAGAGTATCAGTTTCTTCGCTTTTTTTTTGACTTTTTTTAGCACAAAAATTGTGAAATGCTTGCAGTGAAAAGAGAGAGGAGGAAACAGAGAGGGGAGATGAGGACCACGTGGGGGTAAGAGCGGTGGCAGTAGAGGAAGAAGCAAGCGAAGAGGACGAGGGATGACTAGCAGAAATGAAGATAAGCACAGAAGAGAACGGCAAAGGAATATTCACCAGACTCATGGAGAAAGGCCTGTTCTATCCCCCCAGGGTAAAAAGGGTGGTGGCCATGGTTGAATACAGAGATCTAGTGCTGAATGAACTCAAGCAGGTGCAAGACCTGGTAGCGGAGTTTGCAGACACATTCGCGCTATCAGTACAGGAGGTGAAGCCGGTAGACTTCATTAAGTTCAGGCTGAATATACTGGAGGGTGCCAAGTTTCTGTTAAAGGTACATCAGAAGCCGTTGACGCAAGCGCAAAGGGAATGGTACCTGCCAGTACTTGATGAGTTCAACAAGGCAGGAATATTGCATGACATACAGGCAGATGAAGTCAAAGCAGTACACCCAACGGTGTTAGTGCAGAAGGCACATGGCACCCCAGGCTTAACGATGGACGAGATCAGGTGGATTGTCGAGGAGCAGTGCATGCTAAATGGAGGGGAGCAAAGCTTAGACCCCCCACAAAAGCCAACACAAACCATGGTGGACCGACCTCAGGAGGGCAAACCCAAATGGCAAGTCTGCCAGAACTTCGGAGAGCTCAACAAGATAATGATGGTAGCACTGATGCTGCAGGGAGATATCAAAGCAAAACAGCAGTGACTAGCAGGGCACGAATATGTCTGCGTAATAGACTTGGCATCAGGCTTCTATGTGATAAAAGTCAAGGAACAAGCACTGCAAGCATTTCACAATTTTTCATGCCAAAATATCTTGAAAAAATTGAAAAAAGAGATACTCTTTTATTTGGGCTGTGTTCACAGAAAAAATGCAAATATAATATTTTGTTTTCTTTGTCTTTTCTGTGGACAAACATGAATTGATGGTAGTGCTGATTAGCTTCTGCACTAATGGTTATTACCATCAATCAATGTTTTGTGGCAAGTCATGCAAAGAAAAGAAAAAATTATTTTTGCCTTTTCTCTTTGAAAACACCTGTGAAAAAAGAGTATCACTTTCTTCAATTTTTTTAGCATGTTTTCTGAAGAAAAATTGTGAAATGCTTGCAGTGAAGACCAGCCATACCTGTGCATATACACGGAGGGACGAGGGTTCCAATGTTACCAACAAATGCCAATGGGTCTCCTGGGAGTGCCAGCATGCTTCTCGGATATGATGAATGCAGCGCTCAGGGATATTGCAATAGAGTTGGGGCTCAAAACATTTGTAGACGACAATGGTATGGTGGGAGATGTGTTCACGGAGTTGCTACAGAGAGTGCGCAAATTCCTGATGAGGTGCAGGGAAAGGGATCTGTCCCTATCACCAGCAAAGACAAAGCTGTTCTTCAAAGAAGTCGTCTTCGGAGGAGTAAGGGTCAGGAAAAGTGGCATCAAACTGGACATAGCCAAGCTCAAAGTCATAGCTAAGTGGAAGGTACCAACCACACTGCTAGAATTGATGCGGTTTTTAGGCCTAACGGGTTACTTCTGAACATTGATCAGAGATTATGCAAGAATAGCAGTGCCACTGATGGACTTGCAAAGGAACCTAGATCTCCCAGACCCAACGGTAAAGGCAGGGAAGAAACGATACCGCCAGTACCTGAGGGATAGGTTGTTAGACAAGTATTGGTCATGAAAGCACTGAAAGCATTCTTACAGCTGAAACAGATGCTAGTAACAGAACTGGTACTACGAGCACCCAAATTCAATGGCACGCCATTCATCCTCACAATGGATGGCTGCAAGGAGGGGTTCGGAGCAGTGCTGTCACAACGGTTCACCACAGTGCAACCAGGTGGAGAAGAAAAGACAATGGTACACCCGGTGGGGTTTGCGTCAAAAAGGACATCACCAGCAGAAGAGAGATACAAACTGTACATCTTAGAATTCGCAGCACTCAAGTTTGGGTTCAACCACTTCAGCGACATGATATGGGGGTTCCCAGTGGAGATTGAGATGGACTGCATAGCCCTAAGGGACATGCTGTGTAGCAAGCGATTGTCCACAGTGCACGCATGGTGGAGGGATGGCATATCAGCATATCAGATCATAGCAGTACACCACAGACCAGGGAAAACCAACACAGCAGTGGATGCACTGAGCCACATGTATATGGGACAACCGAAAGAGCCAGGAGATGGCAGCACTTGGGCAGTCAGTGAAGATTGGGAAGTGACAAGGGGCATCGTAAATGACTTGTTCACGATAAGCCAGGAACCCACCATAAGCCAATTGCAGCAAAGGTTTACTGACAAACCATTGTTCTTAGAGGTCATTGAGGCTATCACCAAGCTAGACAAAAACGACATGAGCAGGGAGCAAAGACGAGCAAGACACAGGGCAGAAGGCTACCACATCAAGGATGGAAAGTTATGGCGGCTAGCATCCACCAAGTCTCTTTGAGCAAGACCAGAGCTCAAATGCATAATGCAAGAAGAGGCAGTGGAACTGGCATTGAAGGAACACCAGAGTAACGGACATTGGGGTAGGGATCTAGTAAAACTACAGCTGATAGACAGAATTTACAGCCCGAGACTCGACCTGTCAATCATGAAAGCCATAAGACAGTGTCTGCAGTGCAAAAACTTCGGCAGTACCGGCCTGCACTCACTATTGTACCCAATAACAAGACGGCACCCATTCGAGCTGGTGGTGGCAGACTACCTCAGCCTGCCAAAGGGAAAGGGCAGATACCACACAGTACTCCTGGTACTGGACACATACTCACAGTATGTGTGGGGGTTCACACTGCAAGCATTTCACAATTTTTCTTCAGAAAACATGCTGAAAAAATTGAAGAAAGTGATACTCTTTTTTGACAGCTGTTTTCAAAGAGAAAAGGCAAAAATAATATTTTCTTTTCTTTGCATGACTTTCCACAAAACATTGATTGATGCTAATACCCATTAGCATAGAAGCTAATCAGCACTACCATCAATTCATTGTTTTGCACAGAAAAGACAAAGAAAACAAAATATTATATTTGCATTTTTTATGTGAACACAGCCCAAATAAAAGAGTATCTCTTCTTTCCATTTTTTCAGCATATTTTGGCAAGAAA